GTCGTCGCCGTCGTCGTCGTCGTCGTCGTCGTCGCCGCCGCCGCTCGTCGCCGCCGTCGTCGCCGTCGCCGCCGCCGTCGTCGTCGTCGCTGAATACACATGCGGAGGCTCGGAGCGGAAGCCGAAGCAAAGCGCATCCAGCTCTCGCAGGCGCATCCCTCTTCTTCTCAGGGCGGCCGCGCTCGCTCAGTACGGCGTCCACCGCGCCCAATGCGACCACTCGCACTCGCCACCGGCCCTGCAGCGCCCCTGCTTGAAGAACTTACAGGCGATGCTCTTATCCCATTCCTTATGTGGGAAGATTTTTGCACTTTTACATTATCACTGTGTCTGTCCAGGATCATCTTGGGCCTCGAGGGCTGCGCATTTACCTTACTGACGGCGGCGTCGTCGTCGGCGTCGTCGATTTCGTCTTTCCAGATAGGTACGTGCGCCGCCGCGAGATCCACGGTGGCCCTATCCAGGCACGGTGATAATGTATTGGTGTGCTGTTTTGTGTGATATTTCCTTCTGGCGCCGCTGGCGCTCCTCCTCGCGCTCCCTCTCAGCCTGCTGTTCGCGTTATTCCTGAAACTTCCGCACCTGCTCCGTTGCAATGTCCAGCTCTGCCTTGCGCAGAGACGCGATTCGGACACCACCGCCATGCCTGGCCTGACTTTCCCCGAACTTCGGACACGTTTAAACTTTCATGACAAGTCAGGAACATTTATGCGCCATTCCGAGGTTCAAGAGAAGTCTGGCCAGGCATGGTGGTGGTGTCCGAATCATTTACACGGACCTGCGCTAAGGCTTCCTCGTAGCTCTCGCCCGTCTCTCTCTTCAAGATCTGGGATATGGACGACGAGAAGGAGGGGGGTTATATGGACGAGGAGGAGGAGATGACCTGGTAGACGGCGCCGCTCACCCAGCCACTCTTCCACGCCGGTGGCGGCGCCGTGGGCGGCGTGGCCGCGGCCATCTCCATCGCTCTTCGCTGATGTTTGCGCGCAGCTATCACGGACGGGAGGGGGGGGGGAGGCAGAGAGAAGAGAGAGAGAGAGAGAGAGAAGAGAGCGAGAGAGAGAGAGAGAGAAAAAAAAAAGAGAGGAGAGAGAGAGAGAGAGAGAAAGAGAGAGGGAGGGAGGGAGGGACGGGGGGAGAGAGGGAGAGAGGGAGGCGGGGGGGGGAGGGAGGGGGGGGGGGAGGGGGGGAGAGATGGGGGAGGGGGGGGGGGCGTCTGGGAGCTCTTGAGTCCTCCTGGGTCCGTCTTGGGAGGCTCTGGGTCTCTTGGGAGGCCTGTTGGGGCCTCTTGGGGGTCTCCCAGGATGCAGGGGTGCCTTGTCCTGGTTCGTCCCCATATTGCCTCTCCCCCTGCTCGCCCCCCCTCCCCTCCTCGAGCCCCTCCCCCGCCCCTAGTACTTAAGGGTGCGCGCCCTTGGGGGCACCTCAACCCTGGGCGGCGCGGCTACCGCTTTCGCCACGAGGGAGGAGTCCCGCGTGGCCTGCTGCTGAGCCCCCTGCTTGCTGTCCTCCTCCCCCCCCCCTCCTCCCTTTTCTCCTGGCGCCCCCTCTTCTCTCCCTCTCTTCTCTCCCTCCTCCTTCTTGTTCCTCCTCCTGCTTTTTCGTTGTTTAATGCCCTTGCTAATAAATGCATAGGGCTGGGGGCCAAAAGCGCCCCTGGTTTTTTTTTTGGCACTCTCTCCAGAGAAAAAAAGAAGAAAAAAAAAACACCCCGATCCCGATAATTGGCGTTTAGTTGACGGCCTTGGGCGTTTCCGAGACAGCCTTGCCTTGTTCGATTCCTTTCTGAGCTGCGTTTACTAAGCGACTTCTTATGGGGGTAGATTTCTGCCCTCTGGACTAGGCGCAACAGTGGCCATTCGCGCTGGAGTGACTTCTGGTGCGGGTCTACTGGTCTGCACGCCCGAAAGTGGTAATGTGGGAGAAAATGATTACGATGGCAACAGCAGCTGTTATCCAGAACCGACAGCGGCCGCTTTTGGGCAGGCGACTGTGTGTCTTCAACGGACAACCTCCGTGTCGACACCGGCTGCGGCTCTTGCTCAGAATGGACAGCAGGAGTTGCCATTATTTCCCTACCCGCGTCGATCGTACCAACCTTGAGATTCTCCGATGTGCGAACGCAACGCCGTGGCAACAGTTCAGTGCTCTTGTAGCCGCGATCCCAAAGGTCACCTTGCGTGGGGTCGCTCCTACGTGCAGCCGAGAGGCCGGGCGGCGCGGCACGAGCCTGGCGAGGCGCGCGCGCGGTTACTCTGATCCGTGCGTCCGGCCGGCTTTTCTCTTGGCATCGCTTGGGCGTGTGCATTTTACCTTCGGCGAGGACCATCGAGGAGCATCCTTGATCAGTTGGCGAACAGAAACACGCACGAGACCGAAAAAAAACACAGGGAATGGGCGTCCGAGCGATGGCGTGTTCTACGATATCGGGACCTGGAGGTCGTGTCTCCCTCCGAACCCTCAGTCGGCCATGTCCTTCTACAGGAGGAAGATGCCGCAAAAAATGGAACACATCGTGTGGGGATGATTGTCCGGGCTCTTGCGTCAAATGTTGATGAGTGGTTTAACTATGCTTGTGTTCTCCCAAAACCCGCCTCTGGGAGGACATGCTGCCCGACCCAATGCGGACCCCGAGCGGGAGGGGTCAAGGCCCCGGGGGCCGTCGGTCGCCCCAGAAAACTGCTCTCGTAAGTTGCTTCGGGATTCGCCTGGGAGTTCCACGGGGAGATCCCAGGCGAATGAGGCCGAACGCCAGACACTCTTACGCCGTCTTAGGGTCATCTTGAGGATGAAAATCCTTGCTTCAGCACTGTTGGGATTCGCGCGGGTGGCCAGCGGGAAGCGCCGAGACCCTAAAGTTTGGAAGTTTTTCGGAAGGTTCGAACGTTTCAGATCCAGCACGGCTAGCCAAACGAATCAGCGCCCTTACCACACACATGTTGTACAGTTGGACGGGGCGAGCAAGAGACCACACACACACACACTCGCACGCACACGCACACGCACACGCACACGCACACGCACACGCACACCCACACGCACACGCACACGCACACGCACACGCACACGCACGACAGACTTCGGCACCCTTCGCGGCAGCTCCACCGTTGGGATTGCTCCGAGCACGCTCGGCGCCGCTTGCGACGCGAGGGGGTCCCAGGTCCTTCGGATTGTTGCAGGCGATGATGGGGCGGGCTGAGCTCCGAGATCGCTCTCAGAGCTCTCTGGAACGGTCGCGGCGCCAGGTACTCACATCCTCCAGAGCCGCCGGATCTCAGAGATCCCCGAGGAGTTGTCCTGGTCCGATTACGTCCCGACACTGGGTTTGCCCTCGCTGGGCCAATCCAGCTTAGCGGCCCTTCCATCAGGCTCAATCTGTTGTTCACAGACGTGCAATGTGTTGTTCCCAACCAGCCTGTGGTGTGGGGCCCTCGTTTTGAAGAGACAGCGCCCCGCGTCTCCTTCCTTCCTCCCGCTGCCCCCTCCTCCCCATCCTGCCATCCCTGCCTCTGCCCTCCGCACCCAGTACAGCGCTTCGTGACCCCATAGGGAGCTTCTCCGAAGGCCCCAGGGACAGCGTTCGCATGGAGGCCCCACACCCATGTCGGCACACCCCTCACACGCTTCGTGGCCCCATAAGGAGATCCACCAAAGGCGGTACCCACAACGGCGGTACTCACAATTGCCAGAAGTTCCTCCAGAAGTCCGGCTGTTTCACCATGGGTTTCTCAGAAGTCCCGACCCATTCCCGGGACAGGCGTTCCATCCCGAGCGCAACCGTTTTGTGGACGGTGTTTGGGCCCGGCGAAGGCCCTTTGTATACCAGAGACAACCACAAACCCTCCGTCGTTGTCATGTTTTGTTGATTCCTCGTTTTGCCGATCGGCGCGGGCCCCAAACCCCCCCTCCCCCCCCTCATACCCTCATAGAGTGGATCTTGGCTGTTTGGGGGCGCCTGTTTCGAGCAGATAGAGTCTCCCTCATAGGACGCACGGTTCCAGACAGTCGTTCTAAGCAGAGGTCCAGAGCTAGAACCCCCTTTCCCCCCCCCTCTTCCGCCCACTGTCGAAACGCCGAATATAAAAAACGGTCACGTTCTTGTCATGGCGCTATCATGGCTGGGCGAGCCGTTCCCACGAAGGCCTCCCAGGAGTTGCCTGCTAATTTTGGCTCGTTGGGAGCGCTGGGCATCCCCCGTGCGAGGCGAAGCTGCGGGGCAGGCTAGTTTAACGGGGATCCATGTGCGTCAGGCTTCGAGGCTTGGTCAAAGTCTACGCGTTTCGCCCCTAGACGGCGACGGCCACGAAGTGCGAGTTGGGAAGAGAAAGCTGACATGGTCATGCAAGCGCAAGCGAGGGCAAATCGCGGACAACTAGTTCCCTCTTGAGAGAATGTCATGTGTTCTTGAAGTCCAGTCATTCCCAAACTGAGAACTTCGTATGCTTTCGGAAGTGAATATCGATTTTTCAATGTGTATACTTCAGAAAGTTCATTTAGATTACAACAAAATTGCTTACCTTCGCTTGGTTTGTTGCGGCTTGCGGGGCGGGGGTCCCTTTGCTCACGCGCCGCGTGCGTTCTCGATGTGACGGGGATGGGGGCGAGGAGCCGACATCCCCGTCGTGAAGCAAGAGCGTCCTGAAGCCTCTCCGTGCCCTGGGCAGCGGCAATGTGCCCGGCACATGTGCCCGCAGAAGCAATGGGCATTTTCATGCCCCAGCGGGGTGGCAGATTTCAGGCATTCTGTGTCACTGACTCGGCGCGTCGGGGGGATGGGAGTTTAGTTGCCCAGAGGGTCCCCCAGGCACCACACTCGCACCTCGTCCCCCGTCTTTCCTCCTATCCGTGGCCCAAGCCGTGCAGCCACACGACTGGGCATCCCCCCCCTTACCCGCCCTTGGTGCACTTTTTACCAGCGCGCAGGGGCCCAGTGGCACGGCGAGGGAAGGACAACGACGACGTGGCGACGAGGGGGGGGAAAAGGCGGCAGGGGGGGAGAGGCGACGGACATTAGCAACCCGCCCTTGGTGCACGGTTTCGGTCTCAGGGGCAACGTTTACGAGTTCGGCCGGGTCGCAGGTCTGCCTTCGCGGTTTGGGCCGTGCTGGCCGGTTTTCCGGGCCAGGGTCGTCTTCGTGATTGTGTGCGGTGGCATGCCTTTGGGGTCCATAGAACCTTACAGCTACCTTCGGGTCCATTTGTGCTCTGGTGCGGCCATTGCCGCGTGCCTGCTTCGGCGGCTCGCGGGGGCTGGCGCTTGTGTTCGCTGGTGGTTTGGCCTGGGGCAATGCCCACGCCCATCGTATAACCGTCTCACCTGTATCCCAGCGTGCTGAGCGGGTGTGGCGGGGTGTGCACGTTGAGCTCCATCGAGAGGTGGAGAAATGGGGCCTGGATCTCGTGGCAAGGCTTTCGGAGAGGGGGCCGTTTCTCCTTTCTGCCCTTGCTCCAGGCCCGGGTGCTTCATTGTAAAATGATTCATCATGCACGCTGTCGCGTGTGTAATGTCGAAGAGTGTTTTTGCAGTTCATGTCGACCTCCCAAAACCTGCGTGTTTGGGAAAGTCGATTTCGACTGCCACAGAACTGAGAGAACTGCGCGCTTTGGGGAGATTCCGAACACACTGGATTAGTAGGTCCAGAGAGATTCAGACAGCTACCTCGGCGCTTTGGAACGCTCTGGGACGGCCGCGCCGCCCGATACATCTGCCAGGGCCGCCGGATCTCAGAGATCCTCGATCTGTCTGTTCGGTTTTGTCGGGCTCCGCGGGCGCCAGGACTCGGAGCAGAGAGCCGAGAGATGCTCGCGTGTCTGGTGCGCCCTCGGCGACGGAGGGCGACGGGGGAGGAGGGGGCGCGGCGGAGGGCTCCAGGGGGCGGGGGTGGGCGGTGTGGGCGGGGGAGTTGGAGGAGAGGGAGTCGGAGGAGGAGGAGGAGGGGGAGGAGGAGGAGGCGGAGGAGGAGGAAGAGGAGGAGGAGGAGGAAGAGGAGGAGGAGGAGGGGGAAGAGGAGGAGGGGGAAGAGGAGGAGGAGGCGGAGGCGGCGGAGGAGGAGGACGAGGCCTGCGCAGGCAGGGCCAATCCTCCGCGCACGGCCACAGCAATCGCAAGCTTTCACAACGTTCGCTCGCGTAGGCAAAGGTCCACTGACAGGGCGGCATGCCCTGGAGCAGTGTTACGGGTGAAGCAACTTGCTCAGCTGTCGCAGCCATCAAGCCAGATTGTTGCTTCTCTACCGCTTACTTACCATTCATTGAACCGCCGCGCGTCTCAGCGACCTACCAATTGCACGGCTGGCCGACCTGGCGTTGGCCGGGCTTGCCAGGGCCAGCAGCTCCGCACTCGCCTAGACTCCTGCACACTCGAACTATTGAGGGGTCGTGGTACTCGGGGGAAGCATCACATCAGTGGGAGGACTACCACACCACCCACACATCAGGAGCGAAAGAAGGACGTACACGTACATGAATCCACGCTCGGTTCGAGAGTTCGCATTGCGCGAATGTTCGTATCACGCGGCCGGTCTCGCGGGTCAATGGGCCGTGTTCATGGAGGGTGAAAGTGGGGGTCGGGCGCAGGGTCCCAGCAATGGTGTCTTTATGGGCCATGAGTGGGCGATACATCCTCTATTGCTGTGTTTGGCGGGGGTGCCAATTGAAGCTCCCCGCCTGCACCCATGCGCGAGACTTGAGGGGAAACGAAGCAAGGGGGCGGGGGGGCCGGGAAAGGAGACGAAGGCAACGTGCGCTGAGGGCGCAAGAAGACAAGGTTGAAATAAACGAAAGCGTTGACGTGAGTGTCAAAATCTGCCCAGCCAATCTGACATGCGGAACACTGCGCCTCAGTTTTGGGAATCTTGAAGCCAAAGCAAAATGTGAATTCACATTGTGGGGAAAAGCAAAATGTGAATTCACATTTTGGGAAAAAAGGACAATGTGAATTCACATTTTGGGAACAAGGAACATGTGAATTTACATTTTGGAATTTTGTATAGGAATCTGTATGAAAGGGCCAGAATGTGAATTCACATTTTGGGAGAAAAAAAGGACAATGTGAATTCACATTTTGGGAAAAGGGAAAGCGTGAATTCACATTTTGGGAGAATCGCGGGGCCCATTCCAAATCTGCCTTTGGGGTCGACAACTCGTCGTTTGGGAACATGCGCGATCATCAATCGCACAATCAAGACACACTTGCACTCCACTTCGCAGCCCCACGCGCAGTATGCAAGAATCCCCGCACGCATGAACGATAATGGATGGACGGCGCGTGGGCCCGCGCGAGCAACGCGCGGGCACGAACGACTGGCCCTCCATGACCGCCAACATTGGATGCCAATCGTTCCCGATCACATGCATGAGCGATGCATTTAGCATACATGGGCCATTCAGCCCCCATTGAAGACCCCCTGTTGCAGACCCCCTCTTTCACCCTGTTGAAGACCCCCTGTTGCAGACGCGCCCAGCTATGTAACATAGCTGGGCGCGTCAGCCGCCAGGTTCCGCATTCGGGAGGCTTCCCATGGGCAGGGGGAGATGCCCTTGTGCCTTTCACTTCGGGCGAGCATGGCATTGGCCCAGCGACCTCGTTTGCAGTGGCCCAGCGACCTCGTTTGCAGTACCCCACCCCTCCCCCTCGCTCCCTTCTCGAGGTTACGGTCTTATCCTGTTCCTCCTTTCTCTCAGGCAGGCTAGTGGGCCACGAGGCCCCCGAAGCGTCGTTCTCCTTCTCCTCTCCTCCCTCCTCCCGCACGTTCCGCCTGCCTGTCTGCTTGCCCCTCCTGTCTCAGCGCACGCAAATCCGGTGGAAAAGAAACACAAAGACACAATGAATCGTAGATTCCCCAGAAAATATGGGAAAATATGGGAAGTGGGGGGGAAGACGAAAAGCCAGAACATATGGGAAACTATGGGGAACCGTTTTACTTGTGTGTATCTGTTTGTGTGTTCCAGGGCCCCTTCATCAACCAGCCGAGGACTCCAGGGGCCGCCGCCCCTGGAGCCCCCCCGGCTCAGTCGTTCTGTCACACACCCAAGGGGCCCCCCCCTAGCGTAGAGGGGGGGAGGAGGAGGAGGAGGAGGAGGAGGAGGAGGAGGAGGAGGAGGAGGAGGAGGAGGAGGAGGAGGAGGAGGAGGAGGAGGAGTGGGCCCTGGAAACGACAGGGCCGTTTTTTTACTGCTTCCGTTCTGCCGTTTTTTTGCCGGCTCCGACGCCGTTTTTTTACCGGTTCCGTCGCCGTTTTTTGACCTGTTCCGGCTCGGGTTCCACTCCTGCATGGAGCCGTTGTTTTGCCGTTTCCGGTCGCCGTTTTTTTGCCGCTTCCATTTTCAAGGGACATTTTTTGGGACACGGTGAAACAAATTGCCCTGCTGTTTCCAGGGCTCACAAAGGCCCCCCCCCCAGGGCCGACCGCCCCCGGGGATACCCTGAGACCCGACATAGCGAAACAACTGCAACTCGGCGAAACTTCGCGGCCGGAGCCCTGGGCCCCACCTTCCCGCGTCAGCTCTCGCGCCAGTTCGATCCGTGTGGGCCCCGGGGCCCGGAGAAAGGCGAAACCGCCGGGCTCGAAAAAGCTGAATCGACAGGATTTCAGGCTACGGCTGAACGACATTGCAACCGTCAGTACACGAGGAGGAGGAGGAGGTTGAGGAGGCGGAGGAGGAGGAGGAGGAGGAGGAGGAGGAGGAGGAGGAGTGGCTCTCTCTCGCGCCACCGCGTCCCCTCCCCCGCGCGAGGCGCCGCCGCGCCGCGGTGGCCCCCCCGGTCTTGGTGGCCGCCTGCGCTGCGCGGCGCGGCGCGGCCCGCCGCGGGCGCGCGGCGGGCGCTGCGCCCGCCGCTGGGGCAGCGCCGCGAGCAGCGAGCGCTGGCGGCGTCGCTGGTGTGCGAAACTCGGGCTGAACACTGCTGCTCCTGCTCCTCCGCCTCCTCCTCCTCCTCCTCCTCCTCCACCTCCTCCTCCCCCTCCTCCTCCTCCTGCTCCTCTCGGGTTGAGCCAAGAGGGGGTCCAGCGACAGAGTGGGTGGTGCAATAGATTTGGTGCAATAGACTGGTGGGGTGGCAATACACTTGGGGCGTGCAGTACATCTTGTCTTCCGGGGGTGCAACTGTATTGCAGGAGTTTCACGAGCGGTGCATTACTTACAATACAATGCAATAAAATTCTCCGGAGCTCGTATACATCTGCAATGCAAGTGCCGCAAATCTATTCCACCACCCCCATTTCAGCTTGACCCCCTTTTTGGTCACCCAAAGAAGCTCGGGGGGGGGGTCAAGCAGTGGCGAAGCGTCCTGGCTCGCCTGTAGGCCTCGCAAAGAGTGGTCTTAGAACCGTTTGTGGTCTGCGCGAAGTGTCCTTCGAGCATTTCTGGCTGAGACTGTCTTGTGTTGAATGCATCGAGGTTACGTTCTAAAAAAATGTGTTTCGTCCTTGCAGTCTTTTTGGGTTCCTACATCTCGTGGTAAAGCCTATAGGGATGCATGGACGGCCGGTCCCTGGTCAGAGGGGTCAGCTACGCTTAACCCAGAACCCCTCGAGTCGTGACACAAATGCTCTGGCTTCGGGGCCGTCAGAACAACGACTCGGGAGGCACTGCGGGCCCTCTCCTCTGGGGAATGAATGGGTCAAGATTGCCGGGACCCGTGTATGGAAGAAGTCAGGACTGCGCATGGCTGGGTCGGCCCCACTTCAGATTGACCCTTTGCCAGGGGGGCTTTTGCTCTCAGCGTCGGCTGGCGCGCTTGGATTGCCTGGGTGTGGCCTCGCCAGAGCTCGATCCCAGGCTCACTCTTGCCGAGAGATGGGCTCAGGAGGGGGGATCGACTCAGGGAGATTGTTTCTTGATCATCAGGCGCGTGACGGTCGCTTCCCGGCCAAGTCCCCCCACACTGGCAACGGCCCAGGCATCGGGGGTCTCGAACACATCGAGACGGTGTTTTTCACCGTTTTGGGCCTCTCGGTGCCCTCGCCGGGCCTCGGGACCGTCAAACAACGATCCGGGATGAAAAACCTGTCCTGGGGAAGTGGTCGGGAGGTCGGGGGCCCGTGTCTCATAAAAATCGAGGCGTCTGATGTCTGGGGGTACCGATTATACGTCAGGGGGGCCTGGACCCCGGTGGGGGAGGTCGTACTGGAGGCAAACGATTAAGCAAATCCCCCCCCGCCCCAGGGGCCCCAGAATGAATGAGCGGGGCAGACTAATAGAATGCAGCCGCTGGAAACTGTTTTTTCAATCGTCTGCCCCCCTGGCGTTTTGTATTTTCGGCCTTGCGGACACTGATTTTCTGTTCGTCCTCTGGCGGTCGTTTGATCACCCGCGGCCGCGGAAAGAGGATTTCGGAGAGGGGGCGCCAGAAGCGCCGCTAGTCTCAGCGCAGATCCATTAAATACACTGAGGACCGCCGAAAGTTTATGTTCATGCAGTTTTTGCATCCCCGACCTAAGAAGCAACCTGAGGACGGCCAAGCTGTCGTCCTCGCGGACGGCGGTTGGAGCATGATAATGAGGCCAACGATGCAGCGGGAGCAGCGTGTCGCAAGAATCGAAGAAATTCGGATCGAACAACATATATGAACCACACACACTCCCCAAATCCTCGGTGTAAAAGCACAGCACGCGGGAGGATTCGAACCGAGTGGAAGCTCGAAAATAAGGCCAGCGTTACAGCGGGAACAAGTTTTTGGAAGAGCCGAACACGATCCGATGGAAAATCAAATCTGACAAACGGATTCGCGCCAAACCGGTGTGTAGTCAAAAACACAATACGAGGAGGGGTGCAGGCAATTTTCTGGAGTGCATCAGGGGAGAACGGGGAATAGTAGTATTCATGTTGAATCACTGTAGAGGAGCAGTAACTAGCAGGAGGAAGGTGACAAGGGATAGAACAGCTAGGGGAACGAGGAGGAGGAGGAAGAGGAGGAGGAGGAAGATTAGGGGGAGGAGAATAGGAAGAGGAGGTGGGGAAGGAGGTCGCTGCTTGAAGGCGGCGCAGAATGTCTGCTTTCCGCGCAGGACTGGCGGAATTAGAAATCTCAACTTCCCATTCAGGGCTGGCCAAAAGTAGCCCCCGCGGCCTCGAACTGTCCGCCCCTGCGGATTCGAATCGTCAGCCCGCGAAGTCCTTCCCAGCTTTTTCTTGCCCGGCTCTGAATTGACCCCCGGCGCCCCCGCCCTGGATTGTCAGCCCGCGCCCCCCCCCGGGCCTGCAGACAACCCGGGCCTGTCTGCCTGCCCCGCCCCCCCGCTACTGCGGCGGCGCGAAGGTCCGCGAAACTATGTTTTTAAATTGGCCGCCCCTGAAAGTTGTGTTTTAATTCGTTTGGTCCCACTACCCACCCCCAAAAGAAACACGGATATCTGGCGCGAGTGTGGTGTTGTGTGCTGCCGTTCGCATTGCGCAGACCGTCGGATTTTATCCCCTTCGGTCCGAGGGCAACTTGCCACACAGTGAGCAAATAGTTAGGGTACGTTTATTTATATATATTATATATATATATATATATATATATATATATATATATATGTGTATTCGATGTTGTGTTCAATATTGGCGTATTGTTTGTTCTTCGTTCAAAATCCGCCTGTATGGGGACATGCCCGACCTAAGTCTAGATACGCAATCCGAGGTCTCAGAGCAGACAAGTGCGGTCGCGCACAGATGCGTCCCGCGGATTCCGCCCTTCCACCCCCGACGTCATGATTTGCTCACTACGTCGGGAGTTTCCCACCCATTCCCCAAGACTGGCGTTCCCTCCCGGGTCGTTTTCTTGACGTCCGGGGCCCGGCGAGGGCCCCCGGACGCCGAGAGAACGTCCGTCATGATGTGTTGCTTCACGGCGCGAGTGGAGATGTCTGGGCTCATTCCTGGGCGCCAGGCTGCGTGTCTGCAGACTTCCCAGACACGCGACGTCCTGAATTTTTCACTACGCGGCCCCCGGACGTCCCGACCCTTTTTCCCAGGGGCCAGTTTCTCATCTCGCGTCGTCCCTTGACGGTTCCGAGGCCCGGCGAGGGCAGCCCGGGGCCGAAAACGGCCGAAAACCCGCCGTCCTGATTTTCTTATGTCTAAGTCGGGCCTGTCTCTTTACAGGGGGAATCTTCAAAAATAGCCCAAAAGTAGTACGGGTACCATTTTTTAATATTTGTGGACCATTCTGGACTAGTTTTAAAATGTTTTCTATTTTCCTCCAAAATCAAAATCCCCCTGTAGGGGGACAGGCCCGACTTAATCCTATACGTCGCGATCGTGTCTGGGCTGCGGGGCCCCGACCTCCCGACCTCCCGACCACTTCCCCGGGACCGGTTTTTCATCCCGCATCGTTGTTTGACGGCCCCGAGGCCCGGCGAGGGCCCCGAGAGGCCCAAAACGGTGAAAAACCCGCGTCCCGATTTCTTCGAAAGACGCCCGATGCCTGGGCCGTTGCCGGTGGCGGGGCCTTCTGGGCGCGCCCGCTGCCCGCGGAGGCGACCCCGCCGCCGCGCGGCACGGGCGCCGGTCCCTCGCGGCCCTGCTGGGCGCCTGCCTCCCGGCCCTCGGCCCGCGGCGGGCTGGCGCCCTCGACGCCTCGCCGCTCGCCCTCTTCTCCCCGGCCTCCTCCATCGGAAGGGGCGAAGGCGGCAGGAACATAATTTTTCGCCTCCCCAGACATCGTCGGGGGCGGCAACGAAGGGGGGTGATGACTAGGGGGAGGGGGGGATATCATGGCGGGGGCCATGATGTTTCCCCAGATTTCATGGCGCCTCTTCTTATTTCATTACGTCCCTGGCCCCCCCGCTGGGCCGCGCACACGACGCCGGTCATGATTTGCACCCCCCCTCTTGGACACCCCCCTCTTTGCCGCTCCCGAGGAGAAGTCGGCAGGAACATAATTCTACGCCTCCCCAGACAGCGGGCGTCTCGACAAAGATCGAGACGGAGGTCTTTCGCGGTTTTTGGCCTCTCGGGGCCCTCGCCGGGCCTCGGGACCGTCAAAAAGCGACTGGGGGGAAAAGCCGGTCCCGGGGACGTGGTCGGGAGGTCGGGGGCCCGTGTCTCGAAAAATCGAGACGTCGGATGTCTGGGTCCTAGATGCGGTCGGATTAGATGGGATCGGAGGATCGCGCCGCATCGGCGATGCGGCTCGGTCTGGAGCCCGATTATCTCCACGGTGGCGTCGCCGATGTACCGCTGATACATCGCCGATGCATCGCCAATGCATCGGCGATGTATCGCCGATGTATCGGCGATGCGGCGCAATCCTCCGACCCCATCTACTCGGACCCCTTCTAGGAGGCCTCTGATAAGAAACGCTCCCAGGCATGATCGCGCCGTAAAAAAAGTCAGGACGGGCGGTTTTGGGCCGTTTGCGGCCTCGGGGGGGCCTCGCCAGGCCTCGGGACCGTCAGAAAACGGTTCCGTATGAGAAACCGGTCCCGGGAAAAGGGTTGGTGCGGGCAAGACTTCTATCCATATCCAGTGCGTCTTGAATTTTTTGGGAAGAAGCGCCTCAAGGCCGAGGCGCACTGGATATGGATAAAAACCTAGCCTCTACGGTGGGCAAATTTATCCATATACAGTGTGCCTCGGGTTTCTGGGGAAGGGAGCCCGAAACTCCATACTGCAGTGGATATGGACAGAAGTACTGCCCGCAGTTGGGACTTCCACGGACCCCGCATGGAAAACATCAGGACGTCGCGTGTCCGGAGCTCCGCGCGGATCTCCCGGATCGGCGTTGGGCCCCCTCGGCGGCGCCTCTGGGCGCGCTCCGCGCGCCAGAGAGGGGGGTCCAGCGCTCAGCGCAAGGCCCAAGAAGTCCGCGCGGACCTTCGTGAGTTGGTGTTTTTGCCGTCTTCTCTCCTTCTGCCCGTGTTCGTCGAGCTCAACAGGGAGATCATCAGACTGAACTCTTGGGCGGCCCGCGAGTGGGACCGGGCGACCGGGTCGCAGAACGAGTGGCGGCAGGGCTTCCTGGCGCCGAGCACGCAGAGGGGCCTCCGGTGGCAGCAGAGGAACGCCCAGAGCAGGGAGTGGTCGCAGGCCACGAGCGACGAACACAGCCCGTATTTACCGCGCCCTTGCGGTCTGGATTCTGGGACGCGATCCCGCAGATACGGTGGGGGCGTTGGTTAAGGAACGTGCACAGGAAGCTGCAGACCCTGGAGGATTCTTTATCTAATAAGGGCGGCTGTGATATCCATGGCCAGTCCACGATCGAAGTTCCGCTGGCTTCGAGACCCTGGGTTCCATATCCATTGGTTCCTTATCCAATGCCCTCACCGTACCTTTTCGTGCCGGTACGCTCTGCGCGGGGCATCCGCGGAACGGCCCCCCTGGCTCACACGCACACGCGTACACCTCGCACGTTTCGTGGCCCCATAGGGAGCCCCACCGAAGGCCCAAATGCCAGCGTTCGCATGCGGCCACCGATCTGATTTTGGCACGCACCTCACACATTTCCTGGCCCCATAGGGAGCCCCACCGAAGGCCCAAAAGCCAGTGTTCGCATGCGGCCACCGATCCTATTTTGGCACGCCCCTCACTCGTTTCGTGGCCCCGAAGGGAGCGTCACCGAAGGCCCAAATGTCAGCGTTCGCATGCGGCCACCGCACCCACTTTGGCACGCCCCTCACACGTTTCGGGGCTTCCTAGGGAGCCCCACTGAAGACCCAAATGCTAGCGTTAGCATGCGCCCACCGTGCCCACTTTGTTGGCACACCCTCACAAGTTTCGTGGTCCCATAGGGAGCCCCACGGAAGACTCAGATGCCAGCGTTCGCATGCGGCCACCGTGGCCTTTTTGTCACGCCCCTCACACGCTTCCTGGCCTCATAGGGAGCCCTATCGAAGGCCCATATGCCAGCGTTCGCATGCGGCCACCGTGCCCATTTTGGCACACCCCTCACACATTTCGTGGCCCCATAGGGAGCGTCATCGAAGGCCCACAAGCCAGCGTTCGCATGCGGCCACCGCGCCCATGTTGGCACACCCCTCACAAGCTTCGTGGCCCCATAGGGAGGCCCACCGAAAGCCCAAATGCGACCGTTCGCATGCGCCCACCGCGCCCATTTTGGCATAGTCCTCACACGTTTCGTGGCCCCGGAGGGAGCCCCACCGAAGGCCCAAGTGCCAGCGTTCGCCTGCGCCCACCGCACCCGTTTCGGCACACCCCTCATCACACGTTTCGTGGCCCCATAGCGAGCCCCACCGAAGGCCCAAATGCCCACGTTCGCACGCGCGCACCGCTCCGATTCTGCACACCCGTCACACTCTTTGCGGCCTCATAGGGAGCCCCACCCGACGCGGTGCACACAACGGCTGTACCCACAACTGCATACGGTTGGGTTCTTCGCCAGGCTAATTCGACAGCGCCAAGGCGCGGTAAGGGCTCCCAGAGCCCGAAACTAGCCCAAAAACCTCCGTCGTGATTTTTGCCTCAAACCGCCCGAACACTTCCCCGGGACTGATTTTTCATCCCGAGCCGTTTCTTGACGGTCCCGAGGCCCGGTGACGGCCCCGAGAGGCCAAAAGCCGGGAGAAACCTCCGTGTCTACTTGTGCGAGACGCCCACTGTCTGGGTAATTTGACAGCAACGAGGCGCGGTAAGGGCCCCCGGAGTCCAAAACTAGCCCAAAACCTTCGTCATGATCTTTACAAAACCCCTCAGAGGGTCCGGCGCTTGTCCACCGAGGCATTGTCAGCGCCCCTCAAACGGGGACTCCACTAACGGGTACTTTGGCCAGTGACCCAGCGAACCCAACCCTTCCCGATGCGGGCAACGCTGCATTGCCAGAAAGGGGCCCTAAATAGGAACTTTTGGCAAAATTGCGAAGTACCCGTTAGTAAGTACCCGTTGCGGTGCCGTTGACACTGCGTCTGCACGCAGATCTTCTTGCATGTGTTTCTCTATGCCTCCTAGATGGGGTCGGAGTAGATGGGGTCGGAGGGTCGCGCCACATCGCCGATGCATCGGCGATGCATCGGCGATGCATAAGCGATGCGGCTCGATGCGGGGCCCAACTTTCTCCACGCCGATGTCGCCGATGCATCACCGACGTCGCCAGTGCATTGCCGATGTATCGGCGACGCGGCGAGATCCTCCGACCCCATCTACTCGGACCCCATCTAGGAAGCCTCTAGTCTCAGGTATGTCTTCCGCATGCGATTTTCTGCCGCTGCGCCGTCAGGGCGCGGCTCCTGCCTGCCTGCCTGGGAGGGCCTGGGGAGCAGGTGCAGCCCGTCGACCCTGTCCGCGCCATGGAGGCGCTCGACGCGGTCATCGCCGCGGCCGACCGGTCGCTGCCCCCGGGCCCTGGGAGGACCGCCGCCGAGGTGGCGGCCCGGGTGGCGGAGCCGCAGGGGGCGGCAAAGAGGCGGGTGATGAGTAGGGGGGGGGATACCATGGCGTGGGCCATGGTATTTCCCCAGATTTCGTGGCGCCTCTTCTCGTTCCATTACGTCCCTGGCCCCCCCCTTGGGCCGCGCACATGCCGCGGGCCATGACTTGCGCCCCCCCCCTCTTGGACGCCCCCCTCCTGGCCGCCCCCCCAGGAGCTGCAGGGGGCGGAGCTGGGGCGCCTGAGGCTGGGTGGGGCGCCCGCACTGCGCGCCTGCGCCCGCCCTGCGGCGGGGGTCAGCCCCAGGGCCCCAGGGCTCCCCCCTCCTCCTCCTCCTCCTCCTCCTCCTCCTCCTCCCTCCTCCTCGCCTCCTCCTCCTCCTCCGCCTCTCCCTCCTCCTCCTCCTCCTCCTCCTCCTCCTCCTCCTCCTCCTCCTCCTCCTCCTCCTCCTCCTCCTCCTCCTCCTCCTCCTCCTCTCCTCCTCCTCCTCCTCCTCCTCCTCCTCCTCCTCCTCCTCCTCCTCCTCCTCCTCCTCTCCTCATCCTCCTCATCCTCCCTCTCCTCCCCCCCTCCTCCTCCTCCTCCTCCTCCTCCTCCAGGGCCCATGGTGCTCGAGCCGCGCGCGTTCGCGCAATTTCAGGCCCCGGGGCCTCCCTCGCAGATCGATCGGGATCGACGGATGACGCAGCAAGATGGAGTCCAGAGGTCCGGGCTCAGGAGCAAATGCATCTTCGATAACCCTGAAGGGTCTTTCGGCCCCTTTCATCTGGGGGTAGGTAGTTATTTTGTCGGCGGCCTTATTGAAGGACTGACTCCCGCCAATAGGCGGTAACAATATTTGTTTGTCCCGCGGCACCCGCCGCGCAACGACGACGACGACAAGGAGGGAGGAGGAGGAGGAGGAGGAGGAGGAGGAGGAGGAGTTTTTAGGACCAGTCCCATCCACCGCCGACAGAAGGGGGGGGACCAAAACTGAAGACCTGTTCAGCGATTGCCCAGACACGCTCGCGTCGAGATAATGATCAGTCGCGACGGAAGGCCTTTGGTCGTTTTCGGCCTCTGGGGGCCCTCGCTGGGTCGCGGGGCCGTCCAGAACGGCTCGTGATGAAGAACGGGTCCTGGGGAACGGTGTGGGGACCTCTGGGAAGCCCAAACTTCAAGATTTTCGTATAGCCCGTCGCTCCGCCAGTTCTGGCCCACGACGCTTCTGCGCGACACGCAGTCGCGACCCCACTCGCAGGCGTCGACGTCCCGAGCCGCCCCACCTTCCGCCCCGCGGAGCGGAGCGACACGTTATATCCACTCGCAGGGGAGAGCCTGTGGCCAGGGCCGCCGCCGCGACACGCGAAGCACTTCCTGGCCAAGCGGCCAAGCGATCGGTGTCTCATTCCTTGCCAACCATCCTGTGGTGTTGGGCCCTCGTTTTGACGAGACAGCGCCCCGCGTCCCTCCTCATTCCTTCCTTCCTCCTCGCCCTCCTCCCTCCCTTGCCTCTACCCTCTGCATGTAGCTGTTTCGGCACACCCCGCACACGTTTCGTGGCCCCATCGGAAGCTCAACCGGAGGCCCCGGTGGCAAAGTTTGCATGGCGGCCCCGCCGTATTTCGGCGCACACCTCACACGTTTCGTGGCCCCACAGGGAGCTCCACCGAAGGCCCCATTGGCAAAGGTCGCATGGCTGCCCCGCCCCGCTTCGGCGCACCACTCACACGTTTCGTGGCCCCACAGGGAACTCCACCGAAGGCTCCAGCGGCAGGGGCGCCACCGAAGGCCCCAGAGGCAGGGCTCGCATGGCGCCACCGCACCCATTTCGGCACACCCCTTACACGCTTCGTGGCCTGGCAGGGTTCGCATGGCGCCACCGCACCCATTTCGGCACACCCCTCCTGCGCTTCGTGGCCCCACAGGGAGCTCCACCGAAGGGGGTCTCACAACTGCGGAATTCACGATTGCATATTGTTGGGCCCTTCACCAGGATGATTGCTTTGCCGATCGGCGCGGGCCCTCGCATCCCCAGCAGGTTGAGTCTCCCCCCCCGGACGCACTGTTGCAAACAGATGCATTATGCAGAGGTCTGGAGCCAGACACCCCCTCCCCCCCCTCCCCCCCTCGGGGATGGACAGACACCCCACCCTGACACGTCGATTAGTGAATTGTCCATTTTCGGTTCTCGAGAGGGCGCCGCGGCCGTCATTTTCCAGGCCTGCACCCGCCAGGTTTGGGCCCGAGGTCGTTCTCACTAAACCACGTTTTGCTAGAGGGGGTTCTGTCCATCCCCGAGTGATTTGTGTCTATTAATTTGTGTGTCCCAGGGCCCCTTCACACAGGGGGGGTGAGTTGGGTCCGTTGGCGCACCCCTTTGGTGGACACCGATGGCAGCGTCAGGGTTACCCGTCGGTCGTTGAAAGCAGGCATGTCTGGATTCCCAGATTGCACTCTACCTCAAGCGTCCTCCTCCTTCAGCGTTCGAGGGGGTCATGTCCATCCCCGACCCCCTTTGGCCCAAGTTCCACACGCCGATAAGATAACCGTTTGCCAGGCCGGGGAGGGCGCACCGTGCTCCGGCCCCGTGGGCCCCCATGGTGGGCCTCGCGCCGTGGGGTCGGTGCAGCTGCGCGCCGCTGGCGTCCTGCCGCGGCGGGGCTGAGTCGGGCACGCCATTCTACAGGAGGCGTGCTCGAGAGTTGTCAAAGAATAAGAACTGCCAATCATAAAGAACAGTGATGATACTAAGAATCATAAAAACATGATCAATATCAGTACTCGTAGTAATATTCATAGTAGTAATAATAATAATAGTGTTGTGACGATTTTTCGTGCCCTTTCGACTGTTTGGAATCATTGTGGTTATTCGTTATGCTTCGCCCGAAAGCTGCCTGTGGGAGGGCATGCCCGGCCCAGCAACAGGGGCCGCGTCGAGATGGCCGGCAGCGCGCAGGAGTTGCAGGAGGGGGTCGGCGCGTTCGGCAGCGTGGGCGTCGCCCAGGCCTCGAGTGATCCGAAGGGGGGAACAAACATACAGACACAATGAAGCGTCGATCCCCCAGAGAATACGGGAACACATGGGGAAGTGGGGGGCAGACAAAAACCCAGAACACATGGGAAAGGATGGGGGATCTTGTTATCTGTAGTGTATATGTATTGGGGTGTCCCGGGGCCCTTTCAAGTACGACAAGCAGGTCAGGAGCTTCTGATGTTCCAACCTACTTTAGCCTCGGTCACCAGACTGGGGGGAGTTCACGTGTCGGGTCCTGTGAGGCGACGCTCGATCGACGCTGTTTCGATACTTTTATTTTGGGGTGTCCGAAATGTTTCTGGGATGTGGTCCTTCAGTCGACGGGAACAGCACAATCAGAGGCCTAGAGGTACGACCCTGAGATCCTGGCGACTCAATTTTTTCGAGCCCCAGGACCCTCACATATCGATCGGTATCGAAAGATGACGCAGCAAGATGACGCAGCAAGATCGTGCTCCGGGCGTGATGTTTTATGATGCTGCACTTTTTTCGTAACGTCGGATCTCAGGCAACAAATCAGAGGCCTAGAGGTACGACGCCAACACCAGTATCGGCGGTGTGCCTCCGTCCAAGGGGAAGAGGCTCGATCTCGGCGATGGTGGCAACAGTCGGGCATTCTAGGTGGCCGAGAGATTTCCACCAACACCAGAATCTTGAATCACTGGTGGAGGCTAACCCCCTGTACTGGTGTGGGTCCCTATTTAAAAGCCTCCGACAGGCATCGGATGTTTAATTACCCTGCGACGTACCCAACCCTTTTTTATACACGTGGCGCTTATATTCAGGACCACTCACTGCTGACTGGCATTATGAAGGACCCGCAGTGCGCAACAAAAAGTACGCAGGAGTGAAATCAGAAGAGCGCATCAAGAAGAGGAGCAGCAAACATACAACATTGAAGCACGAGGGCGTGGAAAGAAACACAACAGCGGGCGGCGGTGAGGGCTAAACCAGAACATCGGTTTAACTCAGCAACGCGCTGCGCTGACAGAGGCACATGCATGAGGTCCATAACGGAGGCGGATACTAAAACAAAAGTGGAGACAAAACGACGTGGCAGCGACCCCAAAGCATAGAACCCAAGAGTGGAAGCAAAAGGTCGCGGCTTCGAGGATACGAAGGAGCACCCAGTCACCGAGTGAGACGTACCTCCGCTGGGCTTCCAAGCCGCCCACGACAGTGGCGAGAGTTGCGCAGACCGCAAGCCCCCCAGGGGGCGGCGAGGTACCGAGGTGATCCGCGTGGGACGTACCTCCGCTGGGCCTCCCAGGAGCCTACGAACGTGGCGACAGTTGAGCAGATCGCAAGCCACCCCAGGGGCGGCGAGGTACCGAGGTGGTCCGCGTTGGACGTACCTCCGCTAGGCCTCCAAGGAGTCACGAAAGTGGCGACAGCTGCGCAGATCGCAAGCTCTCCAGAGGCGGCGAGGTACCGAGGTGATCCGCGTGGGACGTACCTCCGCTTGGCCTCCCACACACAAAAGTGGCGACAATGTCGCAGATCGCAAGCCCCCAGGGGGCAGCGAGGTCCCGAGGTGGTCCGCGTGGGACGTACCTCCGCTGGGCCTCCCAGCAGCCCACGAAAGTGGCGACAGTTGCGCAGATCGCAAGCCTTCCAGGGGGCGGCGAGGTACCGAGGTGGTCCGCGGGGGACGTACCTCCGCTGGGCCTCCCAGGAGCCCACGAACGTGGCGAAAATTGCGCAGATCGCAAGCCCCCCAGGGGACGGCGAGGTACCGAGTTGGTCCGCGTGGGACGTACCTCCGTTGGGCATCCCAGGAGCCAACGAAAGTGGCGACAGTTGCGCACGCAGATCGCAAGCCCCCCAGGGGGCGAGGTACCGAGGTGATCCGCGTGGGACGTACCTCCGCTGGGCCTCCCAGCAGCCCAAGAAAGTGGCGACAGTTGCACAGATCGCAAGCCGCCCAGGGGGCGGCGAGGTACCGAGGTGATCCGCGTGGGACGTACCTCCGCTGGGCCCCCCAGCAGCCCACGAAAGATGCGAACATTGCGCAGATCGCAAGCCCCCAGGGGGCGGCGAGGTCCCGAGGTGGTCCGCGTGGGACGTACCTCCGCTGGGCCTCCCAGCAGCCCACGAAAGTGGCGACAGTTGCGCAGATCGCAAGCCCTCCAGGGGGCGGCGAGGTACCGAGGTGGTCCGCGGGGGGCGTACCTCCGCTGTGCCTCCCAGGAGCCCACGAACGTGGCGACAGTTGCGCAGATCGCAGCCCGACGGCACAAGAGAAGAGGAGAGGGGAACACAGGAAACAGGAGAGAAGGAGGAGGGTAGGAGAGGGGAGGAGGAGGAAGAACGGGGCGACCACACTGCTCTATCCAAAACGAGAACCCATCACAGGAGGGCTGAGAAAAATACGTGAACCCAGACATGCTCGCATCGTGGACTAAACCAGGACGGGGTATACATCCTTCCAGAAAAAAACAAAAAAGAAAACAAATTATGCTAACGGAGTTCCCCACATAAAGATATTAACGTCCTCGTGGGACCCACGGGGTACGACACCATCAGCACGAAGGAGAAGCTGGAGAGGTGGGGCCTCCCTGGGGTGGTGGGAAGGGCACGAAACCATGTGAATAGTATGGGTTTCCGATACCCTCCTCGCTCAGGCGGGGCCTCCCTGGAGGGGAGGGAGGGGCACGAAACCATGTAAATAGTATGGGTTTCCGATACCCTCCTCGCTGAGGCGGGGCCTCCCTGGAGGGGTGGGAGGGGCACGAAACCATGTAAATAGTATGGTTTTCCGATACCCTCCTCGCTCAGGCGGGGCCTCCGTGGAGAGGTGGGAAGGGCACGAAACCATGTGAATAGTATGGGTTTCCGATACCCTCCTCGCTCAGGCGGGGCCTCCCTGGAGGGGAGGGAGGGGCACGAAACCATGTAAATAGTATGGGTTTCCGATACCCTCCTCGCTGAGGCGGGGCCTCCCTGGAGGGGTGGGAGGGGCACGAAACCATGTAAATAGTATGGTTTTCCGATACCCTCCTCGCTCAGGCGGGGCCTCCGTGGAGAGGTGGGAGGGGCACGAAACCATGTAAATAGTATGGTTTTCGGATACCCTCCTCGCTCAGGCGGGGCCTCCCTGGAGGTGTGGGAATGGTATGATATGTGAGGCGGGAGGCGGGAGGGGAGAAGGATTTGCATGTTCTGGGAAACAAGAACCCACTCAGGATGCGGGCCAGAAACAATGTAGAAACCATGTAAATAGTATGGTTTGCGGATACCCTCCTCGCTCAGGCGGGGCCTCCCTGCAGAGGGTGGGAGGGGCACGAAACTATGTAAATAGTATGGTTTGCGGATACCCTCCTCGCTCAGGCGGGGCCTCCCTGGAGGGGTGGGAGGGGCACGAAACCATGTAAATAGTATGGTTTCCGATACCCTCCTCGCTCAGGCGGGGCCCCCTGGAAGGGTGGGAGGGGCACGAAACCATGTAAATAGTATGGTTTCGGATACCCTCCTCGCTCAGGCGGGGCCTCCCTGGAGGGGTGGGAGGGGCACGAAACCATGTAAATAGTATGGTGTTCCGATACCCTCCTCGCTCAGGCGGGGCCTCCCTGGAGGGGTGGGAGGGGCACGAAACCATGTAAATAGTATGGTATTCCGATACCCTCCTCGCTCAGGCGGGGCCTCCCTGGAGGGGTGGGAGGGGCACGAAACCATGTAAATAGTATGGTTTCCGATACCCTCCTCGCTCAGGCGGGGCCTCCCTGGAGGGGTGGGAGGGGCACGAAACCATGTAAATAGTATGGGTTTCCGATACCCTCCTCGCTCAGGCGGGGCCTCCCTGGAGGGGTGGGAGGGGCACGAAACCATATAAATAGTATGGTTTCCGATACCCTCCTCGCTCAGGCGGGGCCTCCCTGGAGGGGAGGGAGGGGCACGAAACCATGTAAATAGTATGGTATTCCGATACCCTCCTCGCTCAGGCGGGGCCTCCCTGGAGGGGTGGGAGGAGCACGAAACCATGTAAATAGTATGGTATTCCGATACCCTCCTCGCTCAGGCGGGGCCTCCCTGGAGGGGTGGGAGGGGCACGAAACCATGTAAATAGTATGGTATTCCGATACCCTCCTCGCTCAGGCGGGGCCTCCCTGGAGGGGTGGGAGGGGCACGAAACCATGTAAATAGTATGGTTTCCGATACCCTCCTCGCTCAGGCGGGGCCTCCCTGGAGGGGTGGGAGGGGCACGAAACCATGTAAGTAGTATGGTTTTCGGTATGGAGTGGTATGGAATGATCTGGTAGGTATGGTATGGTACGGGAGGGTATGATATGGTATGATATGGTACTGGAGGTATGGTATGGTATGGTATGGTACGGTGTGGCATTGGTGTGATATGGTATGGTATGCTATGGTACGCCATGGTATGGTACTACGGTATGGTACGTATGGTATGGTATGGTATGGTATGGTATGGTATGTGTGGTAGGAACTATGGTATGGTATGGTGTGTGTGGTAGGAATGATATTGTGCTGTATGGAAGATGGAGCGGGAGGTGGGTGGGAAGGAGAGGGTGTTCTGGGAAAACAAGAACCCCACTCAGGATGTGGGGAAAAAAAACATCGCACAGTGCCTCACAGCTAGGAGCATGTACTTTCGGAGCTCCGCGCAGAGATCTCTTGGATCGGCGCGGGGCCCCTCTCCCTTGCGCGCGGAGAGCGCCAGAGGTGGCGCTGGAGGCGCCACCAGGGGCTCCCAGCGCCGATCCAAGAAATCCGCGCGGCGCTCCTAAAGTTTACACGCCAGTCGTAGGAAGCAGATATTTTTCAATTCCCAGATCCCAATCTACGTGAAGCGTCTTCATACTTCAAGGATCGCCATGCTTTTGCTGTGTTCTGCGATTCTCTGGGAGGGCCTGAGCCCAAACTGCTTTTGATCCGCCTTCCTACTTCATGGTTGTACCTACCTCTTCCGACCGACGTGTATGTAGCTTGTGCTTTTTCTGTCATGATCGTCCCGGTGTGTTCTTCAGGCCTTCTTGCTGTACTTTTCACATTCGCGCCCTTTCGAGCCAGACCTGTGAATCTCGCTGGCGTCGGCGCAAAACAAAAAAAAGCATGCTGTCCCTCTCAGGCTTCCTACTGCATGGTTGTACAGTGCCGTTTTTTATACATGTTCCGCGTGCGGGTCATGCATTCAGAATGCAGGGATTTAGGATTAAACGCAACGATGAGTTCATGCAGACATTTGTTCGTAACTTCATCCCGTAGTAATAATCCCAGGTTCTCCAAATCCTATGTATTGAAAGCTGCCCTGTACTTCTTCCGACCGACCGTGTATGTTATGTATCTTGCTGTCCCTCTCAGGCCGCCGCGCGGTTCGTGGCGGCCGGGGCCCCGTCGCCCGCCTTCCGGGCCTACTGCCAGTGGCGCGCGTACGACGAGGCGCTGGCCAGCGCGGAGGCCCGCAGGCGCTCCGCCTCGCGCCGCCGACCGCCCTTCCCACCGGGCCATGGCATCCCGGCCCCACCGCGTCAGTACCTCATGGTGGGCCTGTTTTCCAAGACCACCACCACCACAAGTTGGAGGGGGGAAGGAGGTGGAGGAGGAGGAGGCGCAGGAGGAGGAGGAGGAGCATGCGGAGGAGGAGCAGGAGGAGGAGGAGGAGGAGGATGGGGGAGGAGGGAGGGAGGAGGAGGAGGGGGGAGGAGGAGGAGGCGGAGGAGGAGGGAGGAGGAGGAGGAGGAGGAGGAGGAAGGAGGGGAGGAGAAGGAGGAGGAGGGAGGAGGAGGGAGGAGGAGGAGGCGGAGGAGGAACACCCCCTTCTCCCCCTCCTAGTTCTGGTGGTGGCGGTGGAAAACAAGCCCACCACCTCAGTTGGGGATGGACCCCTCGGAACCCGAAGGGGACAGCCTTCATCCCCATGGAGGGTGGTGCATCGGCTAGTGGGGCCCAGGCCACGCCAGCGGGGATGGGGATCGGCGAAACGATGCTCAGGCGCTTCGCCGCGTCCCTGGGCCCGAGGCTGGTGCGGGACGTCCTGGGCTGCCCGCTGCCTTCGGGCGCCAGCGGCGCACGCGACGTGGAGGCTCTCGTGGATGGCCTGAGGGGCCTGCTGGCGCGCTGCGCGGACCTGAGGGGAGGAATGCTGGCTCAGCGTGTCGTGCCGCCGGCCGCTTTCCCCTCCCCCTCCCCCTGGAGGGTTTCTTCGAAGGGCTTAGGCGACCCGTCCCACTCCTCCTCCTCCTCCTCCTCCTCCTCCTCCTCCTCCTCCTCCTCCTCCTCCTCCTCCTCCTCCTCCTCCTCCTCCTCCTCCTCCTCCATCCTCCCTCCTCCTCCTCCTCCTCCTCCTCCTCCTCCTCCTCCTCCTCCTCCTCTTCTCCTCCTCCTCCCCCTCCTCCACCTCCTCCTCCTCCACACCCCTCCTCCTCCTCCTCCTCCCATCCTCATCCTCCTCCTCCCCTCCTCCACCTTCCTCGTCCTCCTCCTCCTCCCTCCTCCTCCTCCTCCTCCTCCTCCTCCTCCTCCTCCTCCTCCTCGGTTCGCCTACGGCGTCGGGGGAAACCGTGCACCCCTCCCCCTCTTCCCGCGCGGCCGACCTCGTCTTCTTCATCCTTCTTGCACGCCAGACAATTCGCCTTTCGGTTGCCCCGAATAGCCGCACGCTAGAGCGGACTGCCGCTGCTTCGCCGCCGACGAAAAAAGGCGTGCCGCAAGGACTTGCCTACCGCGCTTCGGAGCGGCACGCTGTCCACGTCCCTGCCCCCGCGCGTCGGCAATGCCCCGAGCCGTTCCCGGCATCCAGCAGCGACACGCCATCCGCTTTGGCGAGGCAGAGCGTGTCGCCGGTGCCGCCGCCGCCGCAACGCGCGAAGCAAAAACTCCTGACCGTAGAGAGGGGCCTTTGGGGCGTTTTCAGTGGTTCTCGGCGTTTTTTTTCCAGCCTCGGGCTGCTGTCCAGGCGCCGCGCCTCGCAGAGGGCGTGCCGCGCGTGCCCGAAGCGGCCTGGCCCGACGGCGGCCAGAGGCCCGACGTGTGGCCCGCAAGCCAGGGGGCAAGGCTAGGGCGGGAGGAGGAAGAGGAAGAGGAGGAGGAGGAGGAGGAGGAGGAGGAGGAGGAGGAGGAGGGGGAGGAGGGGAGGAGGGAAAGAGGAGGAGGGGAGGAGCGAGGAGGAGGAGGAGGATGAGGAGGAGGAGGACGAGGAGGAGCAGGGGGAACGCCTCGACCCCAAGCCGACCCTTCGTCGCCGCCAGGGGCCTGATAGCCCACCCCGCCCGAAGCGTGCGAAGTCGCTGTCGGTGGCCCATCGCCGATCTGTTGGCAATATACCGCCAATCCCAGGTCGACGTCCCTCCCCCGAGCTCGAGGGTTTCCCCGAAGGGCTTAGGCCACCCGTCCTCCTTCTCCTACTCCTCCTCCTCCTCCTCCTCCTCCTCCTCCTCCTCTTCTCCTCCTCCTCCTATCCTCCCCCTCCTCCTCCTTTCCTCCTCTCCTCCTCCCTCCTCCCTCCTCCTCCTCCTCCTCCTCCTCTCCTCCTCCCTCCTCCCTCTCTCTTCCTCCTCCTCCTCCTCCTCTCCTCCTCCTCATCCACTCCTCCTTCTCCTCCCTCCCCTCCTCCTCCTCCTCCTCCTCCAACTCCTCCTGCCTCCCTTCCTGCTCCTCCGCCTCCTCCTTTCCTCCTCCTCCTCCTCATCCTGCCTCCTCTCCTCTCCTCTCCTCCTCCTCCTCCGCCTCCTCCTCCTCCCTCCTCCTCCTCCTCCTCGCCTCCCTCCTCCTCCTCCTCCTCCTCACCTCCTCCTCCTCCTCCTCCCTCCTCCTCCTCCTCCTCCTCCTCCCTCCTCCTCCCCCACCCCCTCATCCACCGTCCTCCCCCTCCTCCGCCCCCCTCCTCCTCCTCCTCCTCCTCCTCCTCTCCTCCTCCCTCCTCTCTCCTCCTCCTCCCTGATCCTCCTCCTCCTCCTCCTCCTCCTCCTGCTCCTCCTCCTCCTCCTCCTTCTGGGGCCGCTTATGGCCCTGGGGGAAACCGTGCACCCCGAGCCAGTCCTTCCCGTCGTCCCCCCTCAGGAACGCGGCCTGCTGGCTGCGTGGGAGCTCGTCGACTTCGACGAGGTCGCGGCGGAGCTCTGGGCGGAGCGCAGGGCCAGGACGCTCACGCTCGCCTTCTTCCTGGTTGGCGACCCGCTGGAGGACGCGCAGATCCTCCTGTCCGAGCAGCGCGACGCGGTGATCGCCTCGCGAGGCCCCGGCGCCGCGCACCAGGGGGGGGGGGGGGGGCAGCGCAAGGTGCGCGGCCGTCCTCCGAGAGGCCACCCCGCCCCTTTCAGAAGCCCGCCCTGCCTGATTGAGAAGCCGGCCCAGGGGCCTCAGAGGCCCAGGAGGAGGAGGAGGAGTAGGTGGAGGAGGAGGAGTGAGGAGCGAGAAGTGAGGAGGAGGAGGAGGAGGAGGAGGAGGAGGAGGAGGAGAAAGAGAAGGAGGGAGGAGGGGAGGAGGGAGGAGGTGGAGGAGGAGGAGGAGGAAGAGAAGGAGGGAGGAGGAGGAGGAGGAGGGAGGAGGTGGAGGAGGGAGGAGGAGGAGGGAGGAGGAGGAGGGAGGAGGAGGAGGAGGAGGAGGAGGAAGGAGGAGGAGGAACGAAACGGCATACGCATGAACTCTCCGAGCTCCGCGCGGATTTCTTGGATCGAAGCCGGGCCCCCATGGCGCCTCCAGCGCAGCCCCTGGCGCGGTCCGCGCTCCAGCGCAGATCCAAAACATCCGCGCGGACCTCCGAACGTCTCGTCGGAGGCTGGGGGGGCGAGATCGAAGTGGGACGGGGAGCCCCCCAGCTGGAAATTGGTTTCGGTTTCGGCTTCGTGGTGTGCGTGCGGGCGAGACGAAGCTGCGTCATCGGGCAAAACACTTGTCCGAAGCTCCGCCGATGGGCGGGCGGTGGCCTGATTGTCCCGCCGTGGTGTCCCGTCGCTATCCCATCGGTCTCCCGTCGGTGTCCCATCGCTGTCCTGTCGCTGTCCCGTCGGTGTTCCGTCGATGTCCCCGTCGGTGCCTCGTCGCTGTCCCGTCGCTGTTCCATCGGTGTCCCGTCTGTGCCTCGTCGGTACCCCGTTAGTGTCCCGTCGCTGTCCCGTCGGTCTCCCGCCGGTATCCCGTCGCTGTACCGGCGGTGTCCCGTCGGTGTCCCGTCGATGTCCCCGTCGGTGCCTCGTCGCTGTCCCGTCGCTGTCCCATCGGTGTCCCGTTGGTGCCCCGTCGGTGTCCCGTCGGGTGTCCCGATTGGTGTCCTAATTGCTGTCTCGACGGTGTCCTGGTGGTGTCCCGGTAGGTGCCCCGAGTGGTGTTCCAGTGGTGTCCTGATGGTGTCCCTGTGGTGTCTGCATGTTTCGTTGGTGGTGCACCGATGGCGCTCCCGTGCTGTCCCCATCGTATACATGTGCGTTCCAGCACCGCTGGTGAGATCGATACTGAGACATGGGCGTTGAGATCGTAGAGAACCGATGCGCCAAATGTGCCGTCGGTGTCTCGTCGGTGTCCCGTTGCTGTTCCGTCGCTGTCCCGCCGCTGTCCCGTCGATGTCCCGTCGGTGTCCCGTTGGTCTCCCGTCGGTCTCCCGTCGATGTCCCGTCGGTGCTCCGTCGCTGTCCCGTCGCTGTCCCGTCACTGTCCCGTCGCTGTCCCGTCGCTGTCCCGTCAGTGCCCAGTCGGTGTCCCGTCGTTGTCCCGATGAGTGGCCTGGTGGTGTCCTGGTGGTGTTTCAATGGTGTTTCGGTGTTGTCCTGGCGGTGTCCCGACCTAGGTTCCCCGAGTGGTGTTCCAGTGGTGTCCTGATGGTGTCTGCATGTTTCGCTGGTGGTGCAATGATGGCGCCCCCGTGGTGTCCCGATCGTATACATGTGCGTTCCAGCACCGCTAGTGAGATCGATAGTGAGACTTGGGGGCTGAGATCGTAGAGAACCGATGCGCCGAATGTCCCGTCGGTGTCCGAAGTCCCGTCGATGTCCCCGTCGGTGCCTCGCGCTGTCCCGTCGCTGTCCCATCGGTGTCCCGCCGGTTCCTCATCGGCACGCCGTCAGTGTCCCGTTGGTGCCCCGTCGATGTCCCGTCGAATGTCCCGATTGGTGTCCCAATTGCTGTCTCGATGGTGTCCTGGTGGTCAGATCGCCGAGAACCCGACACGCCATCCCGATCGCCGATCGCCCGAACCCGATACGCCGGCATCAACACTGGCCACGGGATTGATAGTGAGATCGATGGGAAGATTGACAGTAAATTCGATTGTTAGATTGCTAGTGAGCTCGTTCGCGAGATCGATCGTGAGATCGATTGCGTGAGATGCTGGTTCCTCCCCCCCGAACCTCCTCATCACCCTGAAGGGTGGTCGTCTGGGTATGCTTGTGAACATGTTATTATTCTTATTTTTCTTCTTATTATTAAAATTATTATTATTATTCTTCTTCCAGGTCCCCCCGTTCGAGTCGTCGCCGCTCTGGGCCCTCTTGCGCCTGGATCGGGGGCCCCGTGGCCCCCCGCGCCCCCGCTCGCGAGAGCCGTTCCGAGGCCGCCGCCCCCTGGCGGGGGCCCGCGCACACTGTGTTGTTTTGGGCCACCTCTCGGGGCCGCGGCCCGGGTGCTCGAGGAGGGCCTCAGAAGCCCAAAGGAACAGATGTCGAGCCCTCCTCTTTCTCCTCCTCGTCCTCCTCCTGCTGATCATCCTCCTCTTCCTCCTCCTCCTCCTACTACTTCTCCTCATCCTCCTCCTCCTCCTCCTCCTCCTCCTCCTCCTCCTCCTCCTCCTCCTCATCCTCCTCATCCTCGTCCGTAGCCATTTTGGCTCAAGCCGTTCTGGCTCAGAGATTTCTGAGCTTGCCGACGCCAACTTCAGAACGGCCTGCGTCGGCGGGCCAAAAGATTTCAGTCTTCAGCTATCGCCGCGACACCCGCAGTATGTCTGGCGATGGTTCCGTGTTCAGAGGCCCTCGACAGCCTCTTTGGGCCTGCTCGCAGTGCACTCGCACAGCGAATTGGGCCTGCCGTATCAAGTGCATATGTGGTGCTGCTGCCCCTCATCGTGTGGTGCAGGCAGCAAAGAAGAATGCCAAGGAGTGGGAGAAGCCGTCGCCCAGCAATACCCAGAGGGGACCCAGTGGACGATGGGCGGCAGGACCACCTCTTGACCTCGTCAGACAGATCACACAAGCCCTGGACAAAAAGCTTGATCAGCGGCTCAAAGCGGCGGGGGTACGCCAGGACTCAGCAACAACAGGTGGCGCTGCGCACGGTCAGTCTGCTTCTCGCTCAGATGCTCCTGATGATATGCGTGCAAGCAGGATCGAGTCATTGGAAAATGCCCTCAAGCAGATGGAGCAAGTTGATGAGTCTGACCCCGCGAAGAAGCGCTTGCAAGATCAGTTGCGTGAGGCTCGAGCTGCCCAGCGTAGCAGCAAACCACCTCTCCAGCAACACACCAACGCTGCCTTTCGACTCCAGTCAGCACAAAAGAAGCTTGAGAAGGCCAAGGCTGCGGTGGTGGCTCAGCACGAGCTCATCACACAGGCCCAGGCCGCCCTTGCTGAGATGGTCGAGAGGGAGAATGCCATGCAGCGCGAGGTGGACGCCCTCGAGATGGAGCTGCGCAGGACCATGCCCGTTGCGGCGGAGTCGGTGCCATGCCCCACCCTCTCGCAGGAAGTCCTGGATGCGAATGCTGATGTCGAGGATTTCCTGCAGAACCCTCTTTTCGCGAAGTATCAGCAGCTGCTCAAGGAGTCGACCCCGCCGTCTACTCCACAGGAGGCAACGACACCTGCGGAAGCTGACGAACAGCCAGCAGGACAGGAAGAGGAGGAAGATGCTACTATGTACGATGGCCTGTCCGCCGAAGAAGTGGAGGAGCTCATCAAGCTCGCGGGGGACAAGCGCCAGTTCGAGGAGCAGCTCCAAGCCATGGGGGCCAAACGCCAGAGGAAGTCTTCCTGGTGACCGCTGGCGCGACGCTCGCCCTCCTCTGGCTGGAGGAGCTGTCCCATCAAGTTCTACGATTGCAGGTTCGACTCGAGCCCAGGCAACTGCAGACCCCTCGTGCCCACATGTGCTGGGTGTCCAAGGACTTAATACGGGGGAGCGTCTCAGGAGCCTGGGCGGACGTCCTACAAATATGCCTTTCTTGTGTGGCCTGCCTGTCAATGGAGATGGGCATGTGGCACCGCTGCACAAAGGCTTTCGTGACACACCCGCAGATGATAGCGTTCATTTTTTCGAGTCGTTCAATGGTAATTGCCGCGCCACACTTCTTGAACGGCTGCGTGCTTCCAACTCGTTGGTCGTATGTGCGCAGGAGATCGGCGCAGCGGAGGCTGCGGTCCCTGATCTTCAGCGTGCAGCTCGTGCTATTGGTTATCGGATGCTGTGCAGCCCTTCCTTCGAGCGTGATCGGGGTTCGCACTCTGCTGGGGTGGCCGTCTTTGTTCGATCGGAGCTGGGACTGAGGTGGAACCCTACTGGAGGCGAGATTTGTCGTGGTAGGTTGATTTCGGTCCAGGTTGACATCCCTGGATGGCCCGAGCTCGCTGTGTACTCTGCGTACCTCTTTTGTGCAGTAGGCCTGAACTCGGCAAACATGCATATATTGAAGATGTTGGGCTCGAGCGTGTCTAGGTCGTCTGGCACCATCTTAGCGGGAGCTGATTGGAATGTCGAGCCTCAGGTGCTTGAGGAGTCGGGCTTCACTCGCAAGGCGGGCCTGATCGCGGTGGTTCCTACGCGGCACACCTGCATCATGTCGAATTCGGCCACGACGATCGACTATTTCCATGGCTCTCATGATATGGCACGCTTGGTTGATAAAGTTCGAGTCTTGCAGTCGTGGCATGGAGGGCCGCACAAACCTGTACGACTTCACCTTCGGCCTGGCGTATTGGAGCTAAAGCAATTGGTTTATTGCCCGCACGTTCGGCTCCCCATTCTGCCACCTTTCGGTCCCCGCCGTGAGCCACGGTCGTACAGGGCGGCCCGAGAGATGGCTGAACATGCTGTGCATGCTGCTGAACATGATGGGGTGTGCGCGGCATGGCAGAAGCTCAATCACGCCTGGACCGTCTTCTTGCAGGATGCTGGGATGGAGCTGGCGCAGGTGCTGGATTTCCCTCTGAAGTCGGGCACGCGCGATAGGTATTTGGCTCGACGATGGGTGCCAGTACTTGGGCGCAAGTTTCGCGCTGCTGATGATGTCGCAGTTTGTCGTGGGTGGCAGTGGCTATACCGTGTGCGGCATGTATTTGAAGTCACGATCCAGGAGGGCCCTGTCTTGCATAGGAATACGGCTGGGCTCGAGCTACATCATGCGTGTCTTTCGGAGGAGTACCCAGGAGAAGGATTGGATGTCCGACTTGATGCGCAGGTGCAAGCTTTTCGCGACCTTCTCCGATCGTACCCGTCTCAGCTGGATCATCCATGGTGGGACCGAGCGGCTTCCTTCTCAGCTTTCATGGTCACAGAGTTTGAGCCTGCCCCAGCGCCACTGCCAAGCTGCGCGCACAGACGTGGAACCAGTGGTGCGATGAAGCCTTGAAAGGCTCAGCGAAGCTAATGCACAAAATCACTCGGCTTCAGCAGGCCTGGAACCCCAGCATAGTTGAACGATCGCCAGGTGTTTTTTTCGAGTCGGCCTGATGACCTTCTTGCCAGTGAGGCAGAGGCTTTGCAGGCGCAGTGGCATGCATCGATTTCCCCACCTGTGGCGGAAGTACCTGATCGCGAGTGCTTCCCGAGGGCGTCGATTGATGAGATTCGCAGTGCTTCCAGAAAGTTTTGCCAGTTCACGGCGTCGACTTTGGATGGGTTCCATCCGAAGCACATCTGTCTGCTGGGAGATGCTGGCATATTCACCCTGAGTATTCTGTACGAAGCGGTGGAAAGGCTCGGGCTCTTCCCGCGACATTTTATGTGGATGGTTTTTTTCCGCTGATAGATAAGCCTGCAGGAGGACATCGTGCTATCCTACTCCTCGCTAGTTTTGTTCGCGTCTGGGAAAGACTACGCCGCCCCATGTTGGACCCTTTCTTTGCTGAAGCGGAGAGGGACTACTGGGCCTTCGGAGCGGGGAAAAGTGCAGAAGCTAGTGTATGGGCCCAAGCGGCCCTCTCAGAGGTGGCGGATACCAGGGATCAGGTTGTCTTGGGAGTTCAGTGGGACGGGAAGAAGTACTACGAATCTTTCCAGCTAGAACTTCTACGTGATAGAGCGTACAGATGTGGCATCCCTAAGGTCATCGTTAAGACTATGTACAACCTGTGGAGGTGCCCCAGACTGGTCCGTCTAGGCCCAGCGTTTCACACAGTGGCCCTTTTTGCCTCCAGGGGTCTCCCTGCAGGTGATGTGTTCAACGATGCATTCGTGAAGGTGTATGCGCTTGAGGCCTTCGATGCTTTCATGATGAGACATCCGACGATTCGCTTATCCTCGTACATCGACGATGACACGATACTGGGGATGGGGGACAAAGCTAGCCTACTTCGAGCAGTGCCTGCAGCAGCAGCCGATTTTCATCACATGTTTCAGCAGGAGCTAAAAGCAGATATCTCGGAGTCGAAGGCGGTTACGATAGCTAACTCGGTCGGTCTAGCGAAATCTCTGGCCCATCAGCTTCGCATTCGAGGATTGCCTGAAGGTCTGGTCACGTCGGCGTCGCTCAACCTCGGGGTAGACTTCGCTCCAGGACAGTCTCTGTCGGCTAAAGGGGGGCTTCGAAAACGACGGATTCGATTTCAGCAATTCAAGCTTCGACATCAGCGAGTATTACGATTTCGAAGATGGCTGGCACATGGAAAGCACCGGATGTCTAAGATTCACACGGCAGGCTTGAAGCCAGCCTTGTCTTACGGCAGTGCGGTGCTGGGCATGAGTGACCATGGGCTCAGACGAGCTCGGGCTACGCTCCTCAGCTTCAAGGCGCCCTCGCATCGAGGGGCCTCGTTAGTGGCGAAGTGCGTGCTTCATGGCGACCCTGTTGCAGATGCTGCCGTGGCGCCTGCGGCGCAGTGGGCAGCCGCGATCTCGCAGGCGGCGGTTGCGCAGAAGCGCTCTCTCTTCACTATGGCGCAGCTCGCAGATATGTCTCAGCAGGTTCATGCCAATTGGGATCCTGAGATGCCTTGGAGAAAGACGAAGGGCCCGATCGTTCGAATGTTGATGTGCCTCCAGAGGGTCAGCTGGGAGCCTAAGAACTTCACGGAGTGGATTGATGATCGAGGAGTCGAGCTCTCTCTACTGTATACCTCCCCTTCCCTCATCAAGCATATCCTGCGTGAGGCCGTACAGAGACAGCATGAACGTGACATGGCACGTAGCTTAGGCATGCAAGGTGATGGTGTGCGCGTGTGTGTTGACTTAGTGCGCTCGTGCGTGTGTAGGTCGAAGAAGTATAGTGCACGACAGAAGTATGCCATCGCTAGTTGTTTCACTAAGGCTGTGTTCACTAGCGACCGCTTGCAATCCCATGGATATGAGTCTGATGGGAAGTGTCCGTTGTGTGGTGGGCCTGATGGCCTCCATCATAGGTTGTGGTGCTGTCAAGCCCCTGAGGTGGTCGAGGCCAGGCAGAATACGTGTAGTGCGGAGGTAATCGCTGAGGCTGTCCAGGCGGGGTGCGAAGATCTTTTGTGGAACCGTCTGGTATTTAAGCATCCGTCGTGCTACCTCCAACCCCCAACCGACCAGCTGTATCCTGCCGTTTTTGGGCAGGACGGCCGCCCCCTTGAGGACCTCTCGGTGTTGGGAGATGTCGTCGACGTCGTCGTTGATGGGTCGTGCGCGCGAAGCCCCATCCGTGAGCTCTCGAGGGCGGCCTATGTTGGCGTGTACATGCGGTCGGGGTCCGAGGAGATAGTAGCTAGGTTTCAAGGGCCTGTATGGCCTTCCCTGCCTCAGACCCCTCAGGCTGCAGAGCAGATGGCGATCATTGCGCCAGCTTTCGTCATACGCCAACCAGGCCATGTTCACTCTGATTGCCTCGGCGTTGTTCGGATGCACAATCAGAGCCAATCTCAGGTATTATCGAGTCGCTCGAAGTATGCTGGCCTCAGGCGCGGATTCTTTGAGCTGGAGGGGGCTCCCTACATAGGGCAAGCTTTTCACGCGCCCGCTCATCGGAGTCTAGAGGACATCGAAGCTCTGCCGTCGACGGAGAGACGAATCGGTCTCGCGAGTCGAGCGGCGGACCTGTATGCTAAGAATGCTGTGCTACTCCATGCTCGGGATAGTCAGGGGGACCTCGAAGAGCTTGATCGGACGATAGACAGGGCTCGAGCTGCGGCGAGAGTCGTGGGAGCGGTCTTGCTCCTCTACCCTGTCGCTCAGTTCCCTGATCGGCCCAAGGTTCCCCGACCCCGAGAGATAGGAGCTCATCGCTGGCACGCCTGGACGGCGGTCCCAGCCACTCAGGGTAGCTTCGTCTGTCACGATTGCCAAGCCAGAGCAGTCAACACGTGTGCGGCCAGGCTGGAGATGAGGGGTTGCCCTGGGAAGCGTATGAGTTTTCAGTTTTTGAGGGACCGAGAGAGGATGGGCCATTCTCTGGTGTTCACTCGTCTGTCGAGCGGTCCCTCCCTGGTCTTCTGTCGTCGATGTGGGGCTTATAGTACTGAACGCCTCAGTCGACGACTCGAGAACGAATGTCCAGGCCGTCTGTTTTCCTCTGCCACGCGTTGTCGTCTTGGCAGAATGTTGAGAGGACTCCACCCCCAGTCCGATCGTGCGCCAGGGGTGGTCCTCCATATCCTTTCTGATGTGGATCGCCTGCGGCTGCTGCAGACGCAGCAACCTCGGCGACGTGCTGTGCACCTCCCCGCTCAGCAGAGCGAGCTCATCCCAGCGCTGGAGGCCATGCGGCGCCGCGTCGCGGCCAGGGAGCTGGGCGAGGAAGGAGGAGGTTTTCGGAGCCCGATTTTGTTGGGACCTCCTGGTGGGCCGCGGGGCCCTCCTTCTGGGCTCGCGGCCCAAGTGGCCCCCTCCTTGGGGCCTCGTGGTCAGGCCCAGGAGGCGCCGCCCCCAGGGCCCGCCCTCGATGCTGAGGAAGAGGCTGCCTCCTTCCTCTTCCGTTAAACAAACGTTTGTTCTACCCCTCGGGGGAAAAAAAAACTCCTCATCCTCCTCCTTCGCCTCCTCCTCCTCCTCCTCCACGCCCTGAGCTGCGACGCTGCGAGGTAGAATCAACTACAAGGCCAGCACGAAACGCCCGGCAGTCGTCCGGCGATGGGCTTCCCGGTGTGGAGACACGCCCGGGGGGAGCCGGGGCGCGGCCCTCCCGACAAGGCCCCTGCTTCTCAGGAGGGCCCCGCCCCCCGCTGCACCCCGCCCTGGCTGCGCGCCGCCGCGAGGGGTGGTCGTGCCCGACGTCGTGGCGCAGGCGGCGGGCGCGTGGGTGCGAGCCCGCGTGCCCGGCTGCGCCGTGTCGGCGGAGAGCTTCTACGCCGGCATGCGCTACGGCTCCGTGTTCGGGCCGCTGAGCCAGGGGCAGGTGCGGGGCTCGGGGCCGTCGGCCGTGCTCCTCGGCTCGCGGCGACGCGTTCCGGCCTCGGGCTGCTCTTTCCCGCCGCCGCGCCTCGCCGGAGGTGCGCGTGCTGGGGCCGCCCGGATCTCTCCGCGAGCGGCCGCCGGGGAGGCAAGTTCTGGCTCGGAGGACCCGTCGATTCGATGCTGGTTTCGGGGACCTTCCTGGAGCCCACCTAACGGAGCTGTTCGACCCCAGTTCGACTCAAGCTCGACTCAAGTTCAACTCGGGTTCGACTCAGGGTCGACCCAACTCGACTGACGTTCGACGCAGCTTCGACGCACGAGTGGAGCGAGTGGCTCCAAGGAGGTCCCCAGAACGAGCATCCAACGTCGACGAGGATCACCGGTGGGCAGAGGCTCAGAGGTGATCGCCTCGACCGTGAGGGTCGCCCAGTCGTCGCCGATGGGGGCCCGAGAGTCCACCCCGCCCAGGAGCGTGCGGGTTCGCCACGGCGGGGGCGTTCGCCAAGGAATGTGCCCAGGAGGCTTCGGGCCCTGGAGGATTCCTTGATCTGATGAGGGCGGCGGTGGCAGCCATGGTCCAGCCTAAATCGGTGCTCCACTGGCTTCCAGGCCCTATGGCTTCCCTGTCCGATGGCTCCGTGCTCCAGTCCCTCACCGTGTCGGGGGCCCGTCGTCGACCGAGCGGCGGTGTATCGCCGATTCTGGGTCGACGTCTCCCCCCATCTCCATCCCCTCCAACCCGAGCCGACTCCTTTGTGGGCCCCGGAAACCGCAGGGCCGTTTTTTTCACCGTTTCCCCAAACATGTTCCTTGAAAATGGAAACGGCAAAAAAACGGCGACCGGGAACGGCAACAAAAACGGCTCCAGGAGCGGAACTGGAGCCAGAACCGGCCAAAACACGGCGACGGATCCGGTAAGAAAACGGCGTCGGAAGCAGCAGAAAAACGGCAAAACGGAACCGGTAGCAAAAACGGCCCTGTCGTCTCCAGGGCCCACGAAGATCTCTCCCCCCCCTCCCCTCCCCCCGAGCCGACCCCCCCTCGTCGTTCCGTCTGAGCAGGTGAAGCTGCAGATCGCCATCTCCGAGCCGAGCGGCGCACTCTGAGGTGGCGGGAATTAGAGCGTGAATTACCTCCCCCGCTTTCGCTTCCAGGCAAAACCAAGCCATACCACGCGCCTCCTCGTCAAGCGGCCTGACCAGTACAGGCCGCAATTTGGCATCGTTTGGTATCTCTTGGAAGCGAGGGTGGTCAAAAGCGAGGTAGGTTTGTTTTCCCCCGAGGGAAGGCGGCGCGCAGGCTCCGAGGCGAGCGGCGCCAGGCGGGGCAGGTGCGGCGCCTGGGGCAAGGCGCACTGGGGCGACTGCGCCAGGACGCTGTGAGCGTGGCGGGTCTTGGCCGGCATCACAGAGCTGGAGGTGTAAGGAGGAGGAGGAGGAGGAGGAGGAGGAGGAGGAGGAAGACGAGGAGGAGGAAGACGAGGAGGAGGAGGAGGAGAAGGAGGAAGACGAGGAGGAGTAAGATGAAGAGGAGGAGGAGGAGGAGGAGGAGGGGGAGGAGGAGTTGGAGGAGCACGACGACGAGGAGGAGGGTACGGGTTGAGGAAGAGAAGATGGAGGAGGTGGAGGAGTAGGACCGAGGATGGAGGAGGAGGAGGAGGCAACAGGAAGAACGGGAGTAAGAGGGAGAGACGATGGTCCGAGGAGAGAAGAGGAAGGATGCAGGAGGTGGGAGGCATCAAGGACGAGTGGGCCATGAGGGAGGGGGAAATATTGATGCAGAAGGAACTTCGAATCAGGAACGAAGGAGGAAGGAGCAGGGGAAAAGAGCGAGGGGTCAGGGAAGCACGAGGAAAAAGATGAGAAGAATGAGAAGGAAGGCGGATTGATAGAGGAGGAGGAGGGTGATGATGATGATGATGAGGAGGAGGAGGAGGAAGAGAAGGGGGAGGAGGCTCAGGGAATGGAGGAGGGAGCAGTAGAAGATGTAGAACGAGCACGGCGGTCAGGAATAAAAGGAGGATCATCGAGAAGGCGGCAGGAAAGAGTAGGATGAGGTAGATGAGCAGCAGGAGGAAGACTGACAAATCATGATGAGCAGGGTGGAGGTGCTTTGCGCCCCTGTCGTCATTTTACCACAGATGTTCTGTGATCCGTTGGATTGTAGATGCGGCTGTATCATTCAAGCAGTTGTTCCTTTTAGCGCCCACAGCGATCTGCTTGAGGCAGCCCCCGCGCTTTTAGGTTGCCACGCCTAATTGCGCGACAGTTCGACATGTGATTGTTCGCGTGAGCGCCATAGAAGGAGTGGGCCGTCTGCGCAGACATTGGCGAGTAAGCTTCCCAAGGTCGCGCGTGAGCATGGGCGCCCTCTTCGCCTCGCGGTGTGCCGCATGGGCGGACCGCGCAAGGTCACCTCGATCTCTTGCGTCCTGCGTCAGGCCCTCTCCTTGCCGTCGCTCATGTGACTGCGCGGCCGCCAAGGATACAAACGCCAGCGCATGGTACGTTCCGCTTCCTCCGCCAGTTCCGCTCGGTGGAAGCACGCAGAGGAACTCCCACTGAGCGCGCGCATCCCCCCAGCAATAAAAAGGCAAGCGCACTCGGCTCGGCACCCTGGCTCCGAGCTGCCGTCGGCAGAGGCGTTACGCTCTGTGGTCCCGGCCAGCCGGTCTCCTCTCCTGCCCCCAGCTGTTCTCCTGCCCCCATGCTCCCCCGCTCGAAAGAAAGAAGACAAAACAAACCAAGACAAAATAACATAAACATAAACTTTTGGCGCTCCGCGCTGCTTTCTTGGATCCGCGCTGGGCCCTCCCCTGGCTGGAGCGCGGAGCGCGCCAGTGGAGGAAGGTATCCAGTGCAGATCCACGAAATCCGCGCGGAGCGCCAAAAGTTTATGTTTGTGTTGTTTTTCCTTCTTCTGCTCACCACCCTCTCCCTCCCACCCTCCCTGCGTACCCTCCATCCCTTCCTGTCCGCTCCTCCTGCAAGTACATGTGTGCATTCGTGTTTCGTGGCGCTCCGAGGCGGGGAAGGAGAACAGGGACGAAGGGAAGCGACGAGGATGAGGAGGAGTAGGAGGAGGAACCCCTCCCTCCCAGACCTTCCTGCATGACCCCCCATCCCTCCCTGTGTCCTGCTCCTGCAAATGCATGCGTGCCTTCGTTTTGCGGACCTCGTGGAGCAAATGTTGTGCTTCCATCGCTCGGGCCCGTCACCGCCGTGCTCTTGTATGGGGGTGCCCTCCAGGACGCTTGTTGGCGTTCCGCTCCCCGTCTCTCTCGCCCTCCTGACCTTCATCTTTCCCTTCTGCCCTCCCTCTAGGTCCCAACCGCTAAGAAACACATTATCACAGTTTTTTTCAAATAACACCTAGAAGCACATCAATGATAATTTTGATAAGGATACTAACCATGAAAAATGGTTCAAGACATACTGTCACAGCTTCTCAGTTTAACGACACGAACAACAAACACAGCAGCAGCAGCAGCCACAACAACAACAAGTACACGACCAAGCACAACAACTACTACGACAATAACAACAACATATACAACAACAGCAGCAGCAACAGCCACAGCAACAGCAACAACAACACCAACGCTCATGTTTAGACTGTTCGCTCGCACCTGTTCGCGGGCCATTTAACACGTATATCCCAAGCCCTCGATACCCGTCCTCTTCCTCTTCGATCGTCCCCCCTTTGCGGTCTATGGGTTTCTTACCTGCAACGCGTATTTGTATCCTGTGCAGCCCGTAGCGCAGGGGAAGAGATGACGGATGGAAGGAAGAGACACGGGGGAGGGAGGAGGATAGGGTATGAGGGAGAGTGTAGGAGGAGAGGGGCTAGGAGCAGAAAGCACGTGGCATAACAAGACGGGCAGACCTGGCGGGTAGACCCTAATGGGCGGGCCGGGAAGGCTGGCCCAGATGGCCAGGTCGAGCAGGCGGGCTGCTGCTGCGTGCGTCCTGCATGAATCGCGAGGAAAATACGAGCGAGAGCGTGATTCAGAGTCGATGGCGAGGCGCCTGAACAACTTGTAAGGAAGTATCACGCGAGAGCGCGATTCCTACAGAAATTGTGACGTAGTCCCGGGGGGGGGCATATTTTTGCTAACCTGAAACATGTATCCCCTGCAGCACCGAAGACAGCGAAAGACAGGACGGATGGAAAGAAGGGACAGGGGGGAGGAATGAGGATGGAGCACGCGAGAGAGAGAGCAGGAGGAGCGGGGCCAGGAGCAGAAAGCACGTGGCAGAACCAGACGGGCAGATCGGGCGGGTGTGCCCTAACGGGGTGGCCGGGAAGGCTGGTCCAGGCGGCCAGGTCGAACAGGCGGGTTGTTGAAGTGCGCGTCTTGCACGAATCGCGAAGAAGTCTCGAACGACAGCGCGATGCCCAAATACATTGTCACGAGAAGCATAGCGAGAGCGTGGTTCTTGAGTGTGAAGGGTGCGGCGTCATAAGAAATTGTCATGAATTCCCACGCGAGAGCGCGATGCCAGTATACATTGCGAGGAAGTCCCGCGCGATAGCGCGATTTACAACTAATGTGTGGGGAAGTGTCAGGGGGGAGCCGCTGTTGTTGTAAACCGGGGCCAGGGGCCAAGTTGGGTGAATTGCCGGCTTCCCTTGTAAATAACCAAAGTGCGAACCTTGGGAGAAGCTTTTTTTATACACATACAATGCTTACCAGGACTAACAAAGATTAACCACTTGGAGTGAGAAGCCAACAACAATGATAATTTTGTGGCTGTTCTCTTGTATCCGCTCGCGGGCCATTCAACACGTATACCCCAAACCCTCGATCCCCGCCCTCTTCGTCATCGATCGTACTACCTTCGGGGTATATCTTTCCCACTTGCAACGTGAGATAAAGAAGGGGAGGAGGATGGAACACGAAAGAGAGTAAGAGGAGGGGGGCTAGGAGCAGAAAGCACGTGGCATAACATGACGGGCAGACCTGGCGGGTAGACCCTAATGGGCGGGCCGGGAAGGCTGGCCCAGATGGCCAGGTCGAGCAGGCGGGCTGCTGCTTCGTGCGTCCTGCAGAAATCTCGAGGAGATGGTAACTGATAGCGCGATCCCCAACATCACCAACAAATCTTCAGCGAGAGCGTGTTTCCTGAGTGTCGTTGGCGCAAAGTCAGGAGAAGTTGGGAAGAAGTCCCACGCGAGGGTGCGATTCCTGCATACACTGTGAGGAAGTCCCGCGCGAGAGCGCGATTTGGGAATACAGTGTGAGGAAATATCGGGCGGGAGTTGTTAATTGTAGATCGGGGCCCAACATCGCAGTTTGGCGACCTTTCGCCCTCACGTGCGACCTCTGGGACAAGCGCTGAATTTATAAGATGCAATGGTTATTGAGCAGGGGGGTCAGCATTATTCTTTTTATGTGAGAACTTAACAACCACCACCACCACAACAACAACTGCAACAACAGCAATCATGTTAAGACTGTTCGCTTTTACTTGCTCGCGTGCCACTCAACACGTATATCCCGTATCTTTCGAGCACGATGGTGAGCAGCAGGTGGGGTCAAGAACAGAACGCATGTGGCAGAGCCGGAGGGGCTGATCCGGCGGGTAGCCTCCAGGAGTGGGGTTTGGAAGGCGGGCCTTGGCGGCCAGGTCTAGCAGGCGGGTTGCTGAAGCGTGCGTCCTGCATGAGTGGCGAGGACGTTTCACGCGGCAGCGCGATTCACTAATGAATCGTCGGGGAACCCAGAATGATTCCTGAATGTCGATGGCGCGACGTCAGAAGAAATTGCAAGGAAGTCCCACGCGAGAGCGCGATTCCTGCATACAGTGTGAAGAAATCCCGCACGAGAGCGCGATTTGGAAATACATTGTAAGGAAGTATCAGGCGAGAGCCCCTGTCATTGTAAACCGGGGGCCAGGGGCCCAGTTTGGTGACGCCCTAACTGTTATTTTTGTCAACAAGTATGGCTACCAGGGAGGGGGGGCCAACAACAGTTATTTGTTAGAAGTGAACGCCCAACACCAACAACATCAAGGACAACGACCACGACAACGAAAACGACAACGACAACGACGAACACAACAACAATATTAACAACACCGCCAACAACAACGGCAACTACAAT